CAATTTAGATATCTCTCGTATTTGGGTTTTTAATTTTGTTTCATGTTTATCGAATTCTGGTATTAATCTATCTTTATTAGAAATTTTTTTGTCTTTCCTTTTATTTTCTTCCTCAAGTTGGTGAATGATTCTTTTTAATTTTAAAATTTCTTCTATTAATTCTTCTTTCTCTTGTATAAAGAGTTCAATAGCATTATTTAACTCTTCTTCAAGAAATCATATTCTCTCTTTCTGTATATCTATAACCCTTTCTAAGGTATATAGACATTGTTCAAAATTCCTATTTGATTCTGCTAATTGTGATACTATCTTATAGAGTTCTTGGTTAGATTGTTGTAACTCTTCCATATTTTTTATTACTATAATAAAACAAAGGAATAGAGAAACCTGTAATTTATATTGACCCACAAAGGGCCCGTGATTTGGATAGGAAGATTACTTTGCAAAAAATTTATTATAGGCCTGAAGGTTATTATTGGACAGCTGAAAAAATGCGAGATGTGAGTAGAAGAGGTAAATATAATTTTTCATTAGCTGAGATACATAATTGGTTAAATAAGCAAGCTATTTTTCAAGTTCACAAACCACCTCCAAGGTATATTTCTAGAGTTTTATTTAATACAATTCAAATTCCTAATGAATGTCATCAGGCTAATATTCTCTATATGCCTTATAATAAAATTAGAAAAATAACCTATATGTTTTGTCTTAATGTGATAGATATTGCTTCTAGGTATAAAGCATCAGTTCTAATTGGAGATATTATTCCTAATATTGATGTAAGCTGGTTAAAAGCTAAAGATGTTAATTTAAAAAATATTTTAACTTCTAATGCTATTGCTAAGGTATTTAAAAAAATCTATAATGATCTGACATGTCCACTTACTTATTCTAAATTATTGTTAACAGATAAGGGTTCTGAATTCAGAAAGGATTGTAAAAGATTAATGATAAAACATTGTGTAAAAATTCAAAAAGCTAATTCTAAACATACTATGGGTATTGTTGAAAGATATGACTGAATCTTAGCAGAAAGACTATTTCGAATACAAGATGCATCAGATTTGCTATTGCCAATATCTGAAAGATCTAGGGCTTGGGTGAAAAATCTTCCAATTATTGTTAAAGAACTTAATAATTCTGTAACTCGACTTCTTAAAATAACTCCTGTAGAAGCTATACGAAAGAAATAGGTTAATGCTATGTTTTCTTTACCTTGCAATGGTCCTGTTGGATTTGATGAACCTTGATTATCTTATAATATTTTAGTAAGATACTTACTTGAACCAGGTGAGTTGGAAGGTGGAAGATATTATGTGACTGATTGTAATTGGTCTCCAAAAGTTTATCATATTAAAGAATCCTTAATACAAAAAAATCAACCAGTATTGTACTGGCTTACAGATGAAAATGGCAATGGATCTGAAAGATCATTTGTTCATGAACAATTAATAAAAGTTAATAAGATTGAATATTCATCCAAAACGGTATTACAAGATTAATAGTAAAGTTAGTATCTTTAATACATATTAATTTTTAAATTTCCAAACCATGTATTTTTTGAAGAATTTCATCTACTTGTAATTTTGTTCGCTTTTCTTTTTTTCTTCTTGATTAGCTATTTTTAAATATAATTTATATAACTTTTCTAAACTAGTATATATCTTTTCATTGTACCAATCTTTAAAATCTGCTATTCTTCCATTATAGATTTTCTCATTTGGAGCATGTTGCTTTGCTACATATCTAATATAATTTTCTGTATCTCTTTTTCACTATAAAGTTTTAAGATAGTTTACATATAATGCTCCTAATTTATTATATTTTTTGGTACCTTGATTATATACTACTTTAATTACTTTAATTAAAGCTAATTTGATATTTTTGTAATCTGCTATTTGAATTTTATATTTTTTATTGTATGTTACTTTATTCAGATCTTTTGCTTAAATAAAAAATATTTTTTTTGCTTATGTCTGAAAAATATATTTGCTATTATATACATAATTCTAGTAAAGTTTGTGAACATAGATGTCAATATCCTGAAGGGTGCTATGATCATTGGCAATCTAAAAAACATGTTCTTTGCAAAGTTTGTAGTAAGCTGACTTCTTCTGCACCTGGAATATGCAAAATTCATGCTAAAAATTATTATATTATACAGTTTTATGCTTGAAAACTAAACAAATAACAAATGTTTCACTATTTTATACCCGATTTCAATCGAATTTTTATCATTATACACCTAATTTTTACACTAATTTTACATACATTCTATCTATAATGACTAAAATAGAAATTTAGCTACAACAAAAATTGTATAGTGTAAAAATATTTAAGCATAGCTAGAAAAGTATAAAATCACAAGGTGTAAAATGATCATAATTATACGATAGCAATTACGTGATGCATACCCGATAGCATGTATATAGCTTGGCCAGATAGCATATATGTAATATACCTAGTAACATTTATTTTTGCAATTTGTCTTACAAATGATATGTAAAATTCAGCTCATCAAACTCGTGATGAGGCCAACCTAGCATTCAATAGTTCACATGTAGACCAATGATGAAAATCTGCTACAATATATGATGATGATGTCGTATTTCTGTCATCACTCAAATGATGATAGTGTCAAATTTTTGTCATCACAACACTAACGATAGTTTTATATTTTTGGCATCATGACTAGTAAAAAAAGAGTGTATAAAGATGTATAAAAAAAGTCTGCCTGCCCTTCCTGCTGCTAATGGGCTTCATACTTGGCAAATTGAGATAAAAATCATTGCTGCTATTATAAAAAACCAATCCTATTACAAAACCTCTATCCTATCGAAGGATTATATACTGATCCCTTTTTACACAGACCATTATTTTTACAAGAACAGTTAGTATATAAAGGATGCTATAGTGAATTTTATGAAAACTTAGACTTAAGAAACCAACAAGCCCAAAAATATTATAAAGAATTAAGACAAGGCAAATTGACCAACTGCCAACTTTGTCAAAAACAATTTTTAAAAAGAAAAGCAGAAAATTGGAACCTAATGTTCTTTTGCACCAAAGAACAAAAGTTTGCGTACAAAATCTATTACTCTGAAGAAATGTTAGGAGATGACCAACTTAAAAAAGATATTCTTAAATTAACAAGAAACCAAACAAATATACATTGGGAATTGAATGAATTAATAATCTTTAGACTTATAAAATATATTAATGATAATTCTGATAAAACTCTTTGAAACCATGAAAATCTAAATATTATACAACTACAGGACACTCAAAAAACTAATATCATAAACCATCACAATCTTTAAAATTAGAACCAACAACTTAACTATGAAGAGGATGATAGTAATCAAAAATCTGCACGATCTATAACTTTTACAAGACAAGAGGCAAATAGAATACAAGCAGCTATAGGAGAAAATTTATTCAAAATAACTGATGAAGAAAACAACAATAAAACAAGAGAAGTAAATCAAATCTGATGAGCAATAGAAGTCTCATTACAAGAAACGTATAGCAGCTATAAAGAAAAAAGTAAAGAAGACTTTGAAAAAGATTTATGAAAAAACATGTAGATCTATATAAAGAATGTTTAATGCTAATTAAGCGAAAAGAAGAAGGAGATAAAGACTTTAAGAAAGATTATTGTAATTAATGCTTTAAAGAGATTGAATCAAAGATGATCATTATAGAGGAAAAATTTGAAGGAAATCAGAGACTTGCTATTGAAAAAGACCAATTTTACTACAAACCTCAAAATATTATAGAATTTGATGAAGAAATACCACAAGACCTATGTTAGGAGCAAATAAATCAGAATGCCCAAGACTTACGAAAGTTGACCTAGATAATTCTAGACTTCCAATTAAAAAATAAAGAAACTATGAGGAGAGTCCAAACCCTTAAAAAACATACCCTAAATTTGACCACTAAAAATGACCAATTAGAACAAAAACTAAAAGACCTTGAAAATCAGAATGCAATATTAAAAAGAAGACTCGAATATGTTGAAGAAAAATCTAGAAAAATTGTAAAATTTAGTACTAGTACCCAGACAGAAATTTATTAATTTAACCAAAAATAGTTTATCTTTTTAACAACAAATTAATTAATAATAATATCTTTAAACTACTATTATTATAATCATATATTATCCTATATAAATAACTATACCTTATTAATAATATTTATTATAGCTGAAACACCAAAAAGAAAAACAAAAATGACTTACAAGTAACAATGTAATGTAAACAAAGTAAACAATAGAGATAAAGAACAATTATAAAAAGACTTGAAAATAGACTTGATCAACTCTATACCAAGGCATATCCAAAAATAAAGAATAAGAGAATGGTATTCTACTTGTAAATATTGCAAAATACATAAACTACCTTGCGACCAAAAAATACTCTGCACAATTTGTAAAAGTATAAATGAAATTTGTAAAAGAACATACAAATTTAAAGATCTTGATAAAGTTAACAAAAAGATATTAGACCTTCAGTCAACACTAACAAAGATATTCAAAAAAAAACAAATTATAAAAGAATCATTAAAGGACCAAGGAATATTATTAAGAGAAATATCTGACACTTCAAATAGTGAATAAAAAGAAAAGAAAACCGAGCAACACAAGCCTGTAACTATTGTCGAGAAAAGAAAGTAAGATGCAAATACAATATCAAAATCCAAATATGTACCCAGTGTAATTCACGTGACTAGCTATGTATAAACACGAAGAAATATTTTCCAAAAGGACCTAGACCAAGAAAAGGATTTAAGTAAATAATACATAAAACAATATCCAAGAACTTAAATAACTACAAGAAGACAAGCTAGGCAAAGACAAATACTACTACCACTACAAACATAAGAAACAAAAATAATTATATTTTTGCAAAATGCATTAGAAATTGTATAACAAACAAGAGTATTAGTAAAATGAGATTTAATTGCACACCAACCACTTTTAGAAACACTTACAAAAAACGCTGCTGTGTATATTAACCTACAGTACAATATTTTACTTTAGCAAGCAATGATCAATAGAATTAATAACCATAATCTAGTATATACAACTATAGGAGAAATATCACAATTAAAAGACTGTAGAATGACACCAGAATACGTATATTTGCAAATTAACCTAAGGATTATGGGACTACAAAGACTACCAATAACAATTAGATGAAGAGTGAATGCCCAGAGCTAAAAGATATTGGAAAAAAAAGATACAAGGATTATTGGAAAAATAAAAAAACCTAATACTCTTAAAAGAATTAAAGATTGAATTAACACACAAATGAGCATACCTGAAAATAGCTTTTATTGCACTATTAGTAACTCAAGAAATATTTGAAGATGAAATAAAAGAAATAACTTTGAAATTTATAGATACTAAAATACTTGAATATATTGAGAAATTATTAAAACAATCATAACAACCTGGAACAATTAATTGAACTATCCTTATTACTGTTAATAAACACAACTCTTTTGTGGATAAACCACTTTGCTGTAATAGCTATAAAATATGACAGAGCATTAATACATTTCATACTCTTATTGAAAGATGTAGTATTAGTAGTGGGAGTGTGCTATATAGTAAACAAAATATCAGAATTAATAATTTAATATACGTCGATAAAACAGCAAGAAAATTTACTCAAAATAGAATTTAATGTCTACAGAGAATTGTAATCAATATAATCGAACTACTCAAGTATTAAGAAAATATCTTGAAGACTTACAAGGAATAATTTAGCTAGACCTATTAATAAAATTAATATATTAACAAATAACAAAACAAATTCAAAACCTAAACAGCAAATATTCCTGTACACAATTAAAAGAAGGAACAAATAAAAATTATTGTTTATTGACAATATTAGATGAGATTAACAGAATAATATTAATAATATCAAGAACAATTAGCTTAGAGAAAACATTTAATAAATACTGAAACCAAATACCTGAAGAACAAAAAGAAGCCGAAGAAGAAACATACTTAGAAGCTTTAAAAGAAATTAAAAACAATCTAGAAAAACTAACTGATAAGAATCTTGAACAAAGACTCAAAGCATTACAAGAAAACAATATCTTAAATATCAATAGCCTTTTAATAATACACCAAGGAAATAGAACTAAAAATATACAAGAAATAAACAACGAAATTAAAAGATTTGAATACTATTCACTCAAAAGAAAAGAGTATCTAAAAGAACTTAATGAACAATAATACAAATGCATATCGAAGGCTAGAAAAAATAATACAACAAAGAAAATTTAAATTTATCTGGAACCTCCTACATAGAAAATCAAATTTTGACCTAGCAAAAAAAATACTTGACCAAAGAATGAAAGAACAAATAATCAATGACATAATTACAACTGTCGAAAAACTCCAAAGAAGAATTCAACCCACAAACAACAATAGAATAGGAATAATTCTAATACTATTACAGGCTATAAAACAACTATCACAATCAATAAATAGCTGAAGGAATTATATTCAATTATGAATCAATCGCAGTTCAAAAACGATACTTAAACAAACTAAATATTGTATAGTTACAACTAGAAACTGTACTTGACGAAATTCAAGAAAAAATACAAGACCCAATAGCTCAAAGAGAAGTTAACTTAATACCAGATGAGTTAGAATCAATCACAACCCATATAATTAATACTGTCAGAAATTTATACTCGCTAGAAGGAGCAACTTACTTTTTTAAATATGATGAAGAAATACAAGCCCAATTATCAGAAAAAGGAGTCAAACAGTTTGAAAAGAATAAAAAAGTTAAAGACCTAATTAACAAAAAAATTCAAGAATTACTCAAAGAATTACAACAATTAGATGACAAAGTGGAAGAAAATTAATATAGAAAAATACTTTGATCTCTACTACAAATTAACAGAAAAAGAAGAAAAGGGTGGAAAACTCAAATATAAATCAACTATAGAAGAAACAAAAAAGTACTTTAAAAAAAATATATAAAGATATAGAAGAAGAATATTACGAAGAAATTTTAAGATTAGAGTCTAATGAAATAGAATACTCTATAACCTCTTTGTTTCTCAAAAGAAAAGAAACAAGATTTATCTTTTTTCTAATAAATACACTTAGAAAGCTAGACCATTATATCAATGAATTTGTTTCTGAAATTAAAGATATAAATTATCCAGAATATTCTTTTGTATATACTGAAGTTGAGAATAAAGAAAACTGAAGAGAAACTTATCAAAGCAGACTTGAATCCCAAATAGATTCTATATATTGAATAGTAATAGGATTCTATATAGAAAAAAATTTTAATAAAGAAACAATTGAAGAT